CCCCCACCCCCCTTACTTCATAACAACTTTTAGAATTATCATTATGTAAGTGTGAAGATTGCAAAACGTGAAATTTTATGATCAGTTTATCACTTCGTGACTTCTGACAGTAAGCTGCTCTGCATATCGATCTCTCCATAATAAAGTCTCTGGATAAGTCTTCAAGTTTTATTGCATAGTTCAATCTACAAATTTAACAATATATAGATCGAAAAAAAGTATTATAAGCCACAGAAAAGGCTTTAAGTAAACTAAAGTCTATCAAATTTACTTTAAAACAACAAGGATTTACTTAGGCATTAAAAAACTGCAGCAAAAGACTATAATATTTGGAATAAATATCGATATAATAGAAATAATAAACCTGATGATAACTCACCACATTGGTCCTCAAAACACTTCACAGTAAATAAATAAACGTAGCGATTATATATCGTCAATCAACTACGTAAAGCTAAACAATACTGATCATTTGGGCCGACGAAGTACAGGCTCAAAACCGGTTATACTATAGGAGTTGCGAAACAACAGTTGGATCCCTGGACATATCCATTCCAATTGCTTTGTTTTATGAAGTTGTTAAATAACTTTAAACATGTGTATATTCTATAGGTGAATTAAAATCATTATTTTGTTAAACATTAACATGTAAAAATCATCTTTTGTAAAGTGAATACCGACAAAATTGTTAATCTTTTTGCTTCAGACTCTTTTGTATACTGCAATTAATATCTTGTTTTAAATTAATTTTCCTATTTGAAATAGGGAGCTTCTATTTTAACTGTGAACATTTTCTCTTTGTATATCATTGTAAAACAAAAACAAACAAAAAGTAATAAGGGTTTCAATTTTGACAATATTTTTTCAAAACTTGGATGATTTTCATAAAAGCAAAACTTTCTAACAAACTTAGCAAACATAAATTATTTTGGTTAAATGTTTTCCTTCCATTTCACAGTATGAAAGTTATGAAATTGAAATTAAAGAGTTAATAACCATTTACCTTCCTCATCCTCAATTTTAATATTTTGGTATCTTGAGTATTTCAAAAACATTGATTTTTACTGATTGATTAATTACCTCAAATTAAAAATATGTATATGGTTTTTACTAAATAAAAACATCAAATTAATTTTAAGCGAAGCTTATGCTGAAATGAACTTGGGAAATGCATGACAGGCGTTCAGAGAATTGATTTAGAGAAAAATAAATAATTTTCAAGAAAACTTTTCTATAAAATGATGTTCCAGGGCCTAAAAGGTTATACAGCACAAATATGTGTAGTACACCTGCAATATGGAAACATTACAACAAAATGGCCGTTTTACACTTTTTTCGAGTAAATTCCACTCTATGTATAATCTATTCTCTTTGGCCATCTTCCATCTTCCATCTTCCATCTTCCATCTTTCATCTTCCATTTTCCATCTTTCATCTTCCATCTTCCATCTTCCATCTTCAATCTCCCATCTTCCATTATACATATTCCATCTCTCATATTATCCATCTTCCATCTACCATCTTCCATTATCCATCTTGCATCTTCCATTATCGAAAAATATATCGTGAGAAATTTTCAGAGCAAAACCATCAAATAGAGTGTTGTTTATATTTCTACCAGAAATTGCAGTACACATTGGGGGTTCCTTGTTCATTCCTTAGGGATTATAATCAAAGAGAATAGAATATGTATTAGAATGGAATTTACTAGAAAAAAGTGTAATTTGTTGTACTGTTTCCATACTGCAGGTGTAATTCACATATTTGCGCTATATAACCTTTTGGACCCTGGAACATCATTTTATAGAAAATCTAAAATTCATATTAAAAGAAACACAAATTATGAAATAGGCTGGTTTCCTAAGTGACCAATGATCATTTCACATGGACTCTATGCCTTTCACTTTACAAACGATGATTTTCCATTATAACTATAAATCAAATGATGATTTGTATTCCCAAATTCATTTTATATAGTTTATTTAACAGCTTTAAAAAATTCGAAATTGAAATGGATAGTCTAGGGAACATACTGTATTAATGTACTCTACTGCATATAATTTGTGAGCATTTACATGATTTGTACACTTTGAACTCCCTTTCAGGCTGAAAGGGACTGAGAATACCGCTCTAATATATATTCTATTCTCTTTGATTATAATGTTTCTCTCATAAGATTTGGTTTATAATCTATAAGTGTTTCCACATCTCGTGAAATTTGATATAATTTTTAACAAACATACGTAGAAAAAAGAAAAAATATCTGTTTGGGTCATTATACAAAGAATGGTCAATATTGCTGTAGTTCTGTGTTTAAGGAAAATGCTCTCTCCTAACAAAGATGTATATATATAAGATTATATACAAGGTACACGCATTGCCCTAATGTTCACCGTTCACACAAACTGATATCACGTTTGCACAGCGTGTTATAAGTCGACCTGGCTATCTATCTATCTCGATATATCTATCTATCTGCCTAGTACGTACTTCGGAACTCCAGTCCAAGTTTAGTTTAGTATAGTTAAGTTAGTGTATCGGAGAACAAGACTCGGTATCCTGAAACCAAGGGTGCTCCGACCGAAAATATGTTTATGAAAAAACGTCGGCACGCCGAGCTGATGGCTCTGCTGAAGAATGGTCCTCCTACTCCTCCTACCAGTGAGTCAGGAGGAGACTCTGATCAAGAAGAATCTAAAACAATGACAAGAAGAGGTTCCGTGCAGACAGAGTATTCAGATTCTGATGATATTTTCCCTTTTATTGCAAAGAAAGAAACTTTACTAGCAAAGGTGAACATTCTTGTATACACTCATGGTGCAATTCTAATTACCGTGGATAACCTCCCCCCTGATTCTGATTTCTTAATCTTCCGTTGTGTCATAGGGGATGCTCTTTTTAAGAGGGGGGGGGGGAAGCAAAAGAACTAGAAAAGGATGTATTCCAAGTTTTAAATTTTGATTATGTTGCTAAATTGTATTTTCTTATTTAGATGTTAGTTGATTTCCACAATTATGGTTCTCCTTCTAACAGCTGGGGCTCTGAAACCTCTTCCGCTGGGTCCCTTGACGATGATCATCATAACAGCTCAGAGGAATGCGACATGTCTCTTTATAGCCAAGAGGAAAGTGACATGCTACCTTACAGTCAAGAAGAAAGTGACATGCTTGTCTATAGCCCAAAGGAGAGTAACATGCGCAAAATAACCCCCGAAGAAAGTGATATTATGTCCACAGAAAGTAATGCCAATGATCATGATCATAAAAACTATGATCAGTCTAGTATAGCTACAAAATCAAATGTAGGTCCTCTGAGAGTTTCAGTAATAACTCATACAAGTAATGAGAGTCACAAGCAGTATAGGAACCCTACTGAAGATGATCTTAATCCTGAGTACCATGAAAATCTTCAGAACACTGACAGCGTAGGAATGGTTAAACTTCCTCCGACTGAATCCAATGTAAGCAAGAAGGACCAGTACTGGGTGGTCACCAAGAACACCAACCGTGGTGGGGATCGCAAGATCAATCCATTCTTTTCTTCTCAATATGCTGATCCCAACCCTGTCTATCTCCAGTCCTACTCGGATACAGCACCTAAGGGATTAGATAACCAAGGGTTTAGGATTGTTACTTCTAGTCAGCTCAAACCATCTGTGATGTCACCAAGTCAAACTAAGGTCTTTCATACAGCTCTAAGCTCTCAACAAATTATTCTCAGCCCTAAAAAGTTGGTCATTCTGCCTCAAAGAGGACAAAAGGCCCCTAAAGTGGAATCTTCAAGCCGTGAAAAGGCGTTTTCCTGCGACTTTGCCGGATGTGATAAACGCTACTTTAAGCTGTCTCATCTGAAAGCTCATTTCAGAATTCATACTGGAGAAAAACCGTTTAATTGTCCATTTTCTGGCTGTGAAAAAACTTTCTCGCGCAGCGACGAGCTTTCTCGTCACAAACGCACACATACAGGAGAGAAGAAGTTTGTGTGCTCAAAGTGTGCTCGACCCTTTGTGCGCTCCGATCATCTTGTCAAGCACATTAAAAGGCACGAAATACGAGAAGCAAAATTGGCGGGAAAGAGGAATGTTCCAATAGTTTCCAAATTTATGTAAACGTTTACTTCTATGTACTTATTCATGCTCTACCCGGTACACAGTACACAGTACACAGTACACACACTGCCGTTGCATTTTCTATTGCCCTTTTGTATTCAATAAATTATGATAATATTTATGATAATATTTTACAAAGAAAGTTAGAAGTAACTATGACAATGTGTTTTTTGAGCTTAAGCTTTATAGGAATTAGGTATTTGGAACACTTATACCTTTTTGGTGGCTTTAAAAAATAAAGAATAAAAAAAAATTTTAAATCAAAATAAGTAAAAAAAGAATAAAAAAATAACAACAAAATAAACCACAAATTATAAATAAAAGTATAAATACTTTATGTAATAAAATTGATCAGATTTTGAAAAAAAAATGTCCGAAAAATACTATTTTTCTAAAAAGTATTTTTTTAAAAGACCGGAAACCAAATTAAGTAGTCTGTGTTTAACATATTTTAAAAATGCCGGGCATTACAATTAGAACGCTCCAGGTCGTCAGGTCGTCATCAATTTCTCATCCTTTGTGGGTAACCCTGTCCACAAACTTTGGAGGCTAAGGGTAGAGATTTTGATAGTTTTATTTAAGGGACTGTAAACTTAGTAACTCTTCATATTTTTAAAGTGGCATTTCCGATTAAGAACGGTACGTCACCCTTAACAGCCTTTATGAAGAATGCATGTGATCTCCATAATCTTTTCTTTGAAAATTTCTCTGAAAACTTTACTTGCGCATTTCTGCTTCAAAAAGGAANTTAGTTATACATATCTTAAAATAGAAGGTCACTTGATATTACAACAGAAAACTTGCAAACTTGTAAATACATTTTTTGATGGTCTGCTTTTTGTGATCATTTACTACTCTATAAATTAAACCCATTTTTAAAAATTTCCACAAAACTATATGAAATAAAGGGTGCATTAAAGAAAACGACAATATTTTTAAAGAGTTGATTATTTAGAATAAGTTGTTTTTGATTTTCTCTTCTACGCACCATTTAACCATTTTTCTTATGAAAACGGTTAAAGTATAGATTTAATATAAATTCTGTTTAATTATCAAATTTTTTTGTGTTCAAACTTTTAACATTTAATGAGGACATGGCTTGACAATTGAGCGTTATATGGTAAGATTGACTGGGTTGTTATATTATTTTCTAGATTAGTTCTCACCTTTAAAATTAATTTTTAGAAAAGACGACATTTGCATCATGATTTAAGAAAAGTTTGATTTAAAGACTCGGAGCCTATTAAGATATAATAAAAAATGTTTGCATTAAAGCCTCAATTTAAGCAATATATATATCTTCGGTCAGAGTACTGCATATTGCTGCATATATCGCACCGAAAGCTTAATTGAGGGTGTCCCTGCTTTATATTGTGACTTAAATTTATTTTTAAAGAGAGTGTAGACGACGACGTTATAAATTGATCAAATTAATAAAAAAATAAAACTAAGTTAATTGTTCTAAGCTTTGTTTAAAAAGCTATTTTAAAATGGAAAAGCTGATTGCGCAGTGTTAAGAAGTTGTTTTTTATTCATGTTTTCCGTTTATTCAAATATAATTATTTCTAATCCATGTTGTTTAAAGAAATTGCAAATGATTTAGAAAAAACGTTTAAATTCTTTAAAAGTTTTAAATTCATTGCTGAAATGGTTTGCTAAGTTTTGACAAAAAAGAATAAATAATTAATATTCGACAATGATTTAGCTTTCTCTGTTGGTGGTGACCGTTGTCCGCTCAATGTTATAAACAGTCTTAGTCTTGGTTCATCCTTCGTAGTAAACTTTACACACACTTTACACACTTGTTAGTTAACTTTACACACTCGGTAGTTAACTGTACACACTACGTAGTTAATTTTACACACTTGGTAGTTAACTTTACACACTTGATAGTTAACTTTACACACTTGTTAGTTAACTTTACACACTCGGTAGTTAACTGTACACACTTCGTAGTTAATTTTACACACTTGGTAGTTAACTTTACACACTTGGTAGTTAACTTTATACACTTGGTAGTTATCTTTACACATTTGGTAGTTAACTTTACACATTTGGTAGTTAACTTTACACACTTGGTAGTTAACTTTATAAACTTGGTAGTTAACTTTACACACTTGGTAGTTAACTTTACACACTTGATAGTTAACTTTACACACTTGGTAGTTAACTTTATACACTTGGTAGTTAACTTTACACACTTGGTAGTTAACTTTACACACTTGGTAGTTAACTTTACACACTTGGTAGTTAACTTTATACACTTGGTAGTTAACTTTACACACACCCCGTAGTTAACTTTACACACTTGGTAGTTAACTTTATACACACCCCGTAGTTAACTTTATACACTTGGTAATTTACTTTACACACTTGGTAGTTAACTTTATACACTTGGTAGTTAACTTTACACAATTGGTAGTTAATGTTACACACTTGGTAGTAAACTTTATATACTTGGTAGTTAACTTTACACACTTGGTAGTTAACTTTACACACACCCCGTAGTTAACTTTACACACACTTGGTAGTTAACTTATACACTTCGTAGTTAACTTTACACACTTGGTAGTTAACTTTACACACTTCGTAGTTAACTTTACACACTTGGTAGTTAACTTTACACAACTTTACACACTTGGTAGTTAACTTTATACACTTGGTAGTTATTTTTAAACACTTGGTAGTTAACTTTACACACTCGGTAGTTAACTTTACACACCTGGTAGTTAACTTTATACACACTTGGTAGTTAACTTTACACACTTAATAGTTAACTTTATACACTTGGTAATTAACTTTACACACTTGGTAGTTAACTTTACACTTGAAATGTCTTTACATAGATCCTCCCAATCAATTTTAAAACACACCTTTAGTATATTGTTGAAATTGTACTTATGTTTGCAATTGCAATAGCCATTATCATACAGATATATCTTTCCTTATTTATTAATATCAAATAATAAATATCAAATGCCAAATGATCAAATGCCTAGTTATAATTAGGTCTGCAAGCTAGAAATGTAAACAAATCAGAGAAAAATCATAACAACATATCATACTGCATTGTTCATCTCAAACCGGATAAATGTCGACAACAAAGAGAAAACAAAGAGGAGACGATAAGGGAAAAGGGAAGAGACGAAAAGAAATAAGAGAAAAAAAGGAAAAAAAGAAAATAGAAGAAAAAAGAAGAGAAGGAAGGAGAAGAAAAGAAAATATAAGAGAAGAGTAGAAAGAAGAAGAGAAAAGAAAAAGAAAAAATAGATTGCGTGAAAGAGAGAGCTTGCATTTTACAAACGTTTTATCATAAAAATATGTTTAAGAATACCTTAAACTTTAAAATTAACTTTCTTGTAAAATTGTATGATATTTTTGCAAAATAGTTGTCTTAACTGTTTAGCGTACGTTTTTTGATCATTTAAAGATTTTTGATCATATGGCATTTGATATTCTGATATTTGTTTTTACCTTTTTTAGTTTTATACTTTTTCATGTTGTTTTTCTTTTAAATGATTAATTGTCCCACTGAAGAATATAAGTTAAACATTGAATTTGCTATACCCAATAATATTATGAAGAAATAATTTTTTTTAATGAAAACGGGCTTTTAATACAAAAAGAAAAGTTCTATTTCAATTTCGTTAATTATCCATATTAAATGAAAGCTCATTAAATTTTAACTAAATCAAAGGTTTTGTTAATAACAATTTTTATTTCAATTTAAGCTTTAAAACCTGGATTCTAATCTATATAATAAAGCTCTCCGCTCATATATTTATATGTTCGCTATAGCTTTGGCCAAACAGTTAGACCAAAATGGCCGGGGTAACATAGGTACCCCGGGGGGCCATGGCAACATAAATACCCCTGGGAGCTGGGGTAACATAGGCACCCCGGGGGGCCAGGGCAACATAAGTACCCCTGGGGGCTGGGGTAACATAGGTACCTCAGGGGGCCAGGGCAACATAAGTATCCCTGGGGGCTGGGGTAACATAGGTACCCCAGGGAGCCAGGGTAACATGGGCTAAAATAAAAAAAATCATAATTAAATACCAAGCGCGCGGGTACAATAGTTACAAGGGATACTTCCTGTAACTATAACTAATGTAAACCTGGGCAACACCGGGTACTCCAGTAGTACTTTATTACTTGACACTTTTCTAAATTAAGATTTAGAAGAAATGGAAAACAGAAAATTGCTGAGAAGATTTTAATATTTGGATTTACTGTTCAGTATGGGAAATGGATGCTCAGGTCTTTTTTTTCAGAGGAAATAACTAAATAAGATTAAAATTAACTTGAACTTGCTTTCTCTTATTTTTTTCTTTATTTCAATTCAACTAAAAAAATATTTTAGATTCGTCATTGATTATTTTGAAAAGTTTTAAATCAAATAAAGCACATTTTTAATCTCAATAGAATGAATTAAATATCAATAGATATATACAATGTAAATAAATTATGCAAATTTTAATAATTCAAAACTAGTAAAAGTAATTTCTTTTAAAAATCATTTTCAAATTTTGTTTGTCTGTTTGTAAATTGTGTGTATCCAATAAACAACGGCTGAACCAATAGAGACCAATTGTTTCTTGAAAAACATCGACCTTTATGATTTTTAGTTTCAAGTGAGCTCAATTCATACATGCAAATGTGACCATGTCCGATATAAGCTTCGACTGATAAAGTATGAATAAGATATCGATGTTTATTACTCTAAAAAATTACATTTTAGGTTTATCGACTAAAGTAATTTGCGCATTTCTACTGAGAGAAACCATATATGAATTATCAGAATTACACAATTTTAAATTTAAAAAAGCATGATTAGCTTCCACTCTATTGGCCAACTAAAACTTTTAAGAAGACCATTGTCAATCAGGTCATTTTTGCATGGAGTTGGAAAGTCTCTTAGAACAAAAAAATTAAAAATTATATTTTGACAAGGTGCGCAAAGTGCCCTAAATTTGAAGTTTAATCGGTTTATTTTGAAACAAAAACTATAATTATAAAAGTTTGTCTAAAAAAATGAATAAAATATAATTGATGAATATAATTAAAACCTGGTGCAGGAGGGGATATGACCCCAGATCCTAGCCCAAAAAGAAGACGATACAGCATAATAAGGTCATACATTCAACAAGTTCTTATTTTAGATTTTAAATGATTTTTGTTTTCATTTTGCAGTTTTTGTTGTTTTTCTTTTAAAACGAATTATATAATTCTTTAAAATTAGACAAATTAAATTTTTGGCATAAAATTTCAAAATTACTTTGTTTTGATCTTTCTTTATCAAAAATCAAACAATGTTCTTAAGAAGTAAATAAAACAAAGACATTATTATATTAGAATTGTTTAACTTTATAACTTTGACAAAATTGTGCTTTGTGATTTGTCACATTTTATAGTAAAGTTAAAATGTCTGTAAGTTTTTTTCGACCCTTTTTCTTTCGACTTTATTTATCAAGTAATATAAAACACTGTTACCATATTTATTTTTATTCTAGAAATCGAGCACCTTCGGTCACTTCGGCAGAGATGAAACGACAACTTATGAGAACAGAACTAGAGGAGGCAAGCTTTAACATTAGAATAACAGATTACAATAATGGGGGGGGGACACCAATCCCCTTCCAAACCCAACCCCACCCTGCACAGTAATTTTTCACGCAAAAAAACATTCAACAAATATAATAATCTTGGCAAAGTACAACAACAAATACTATAATCTCAGCAAAGTACAACAAACAAATATTATAATCAAAGCAAAGTACAACAAACAAATATTATAATATAAGGAAAGTACAATAAACAAATATTATAATCTTGGCAAAGAACAACAAACAAATATTATAATCTAAGCAAAGTACAACAACAAATATTATAATCTAAGGAAAGTACAACAAAACAAATAATCTAATAAAAGTACAACAACAAATATTATAATTTAAGGAAAGTACAACAAACAAATATTATAATCTTGAAAAAGTAAAACAACAAATATTATAATATAAGCAAAGTAAAACAACAAATATTTTAAACTAAGCGAAGTAAAACAACAAATATTATAATCTAAGCAAAGTACAACAACAAATATTATGATATAAGCAAAGTACAACAACAAATATTATAATATAAGAAAAGTACAACAACAAATATTATAAACTAAGCAAAGTACAACAATAAATATTATAATCTAAGCAAAGTACAACAACAAATATTATAATCTTGGTAAAGTACAACAAACAAATATTATAATCTAGGCAAAGTACAACAACAAATATTGTAATCTTTACAAAGTACAACAAACAAATATTATAATTTTGGCAAAGTACAACAACAAATATTATAATCTAAGCAAAGTACAACAAACAAATATTATAATCTTGGCAAAGTACAACAAACAAATATTATAATCTTGACAAAGTACAACAAACAAATATTATAAGCTAAGCAAAGTAAAATAAACAAATATTATTATCTTGGCAACGTACAACAAACAAATATAATCTAAGCAAAGTACAATAAACAAATATTATAATCTAAGCAAAGTACCACAAACAAATATTATAATCTTGGAAAAGTACAACAACAAATATTATATATTCTAGGCAGAGCATAGAACACAAATATTATATTCTAGGCAGAGCATAGAACACAAATATTATATTCTAGGCAGAGCATAGAACACAAATTTTATATTCTAGGCAGAACTTAGAACACAAATATTATATTCTAGGCAGAGCAAAGAACACAAATATTATATTGTAGGCAGAGCAAAGAAAACAAATATTATATTCTAGGCAGAGCATAGAACACAAATATTATATTCTAGGCAGAGCATAGAACACAAATATTATATTCTAGTCAGAGCAAAGAAAACAAATATTATATTCTAGTCAGAGCAAAGAACACACATATTATATTCTAGTCAGAGCATAGAACACAAATATTATATTCTAGTCAGAGCAAAGAAAACAAATATTATATTCTAGTCAGAGCAAAGAACACAAATATTATATTCTAGGCAGAGCAAAGAAAACAAATATTATATTCTAGGCAGAGCAAAGAAAACAAATATTATATTCTAGGCAGAGCAAAGAAAACAAATATTATATTCTAGGCAGAGCAAAAAAAACAAATATTATAATCTAGGCAGAGCATAGAAAACAAATATTATATTCTAGGCAGAGCATAGAAAACAAATATTATATTCTAGGCAGAGCAAAGAAAAAAATATTATATTCTAGGCAGAGCATAGAAAACAAATATTATATTCTAGGCAGAGCATAGAAAACAAATATTATATTCTAGGCAGAGCATAGAAAACAAATATTATATTCTAGGCAGAGCAAAGAAAAAAAATATTATATTCTAGGCAGAGCATAGAAAACAAATATTATAATCTTGGCAAAGTACAAGAAAACAAATATTATATTCTAGGCAGAGCATAGAAAACAAATATTATATTCTAGGCAGAGCATAGAAAAAAAATAGCGGAGGAAATGAAAAATGAGTTTGCCAAGGATAGGGCAAAACTTAAACAGGTATTTTTATTATTTACTCAGAATTTTTATTAAACGGCCTGCATTTGATTTGATATGGAAATTCTAGTAATCCCTGAACCAAAATGTAATATACTACAATATGAAATACAATAGAGATACTTATTTTTTTCTAAATTTTGAGAAATAAATCCTGGGAGGTGTAGAATAAAAGATATATTTGAAAAGTATATTGGATTTCGATAAGAAGAGAACAAATCTCAAATAATATGCATTTACAACACAAATTTTACACGTTGCGTTCTTTATTACAATTTGATTGTTGGAAAAGTTCAAAAGTGTTTTATCGCAAGTTTTAGCCTTTTTTTCAGCAACAAAAATCATGGAAGATGACTTGATTTCGTAATAGGAAATGCACACTGAAATGATAGCAGAAAGAGAGAGAGCCAAAGTACAAACTGATGTCAGTGAAGAGGGTCAAGTTGGTAATTAACTTTTTGAAAATTTGATTCTAATTTTACTTCTGTATATATGCGCATCTTCAAAAAGGAAATGGTTGAAAAAGCTTAATGCTATTGCTTAGAAAGGAGAAGTCCAATAAAATTTATTTATTTTATAAAAAAAATAACTAGCTGAAGTGCCTGGCGTTACCCGTAAAAAAAATTGAATTTGGAAAAACATTTTATTTTAAAAAATGTGATTTTTGAATTAAAATGTTGAAGCTTTTTTAGCTTTTGTTCGATCCAGCCGTTTGGCCAACCAGCTATAGCTAAAATATATACAAATATATATGAGCGAAGAGAATTATTATATAGATATTATCGCAATGGCTGTGCGGCATTTTCAATCTGTTGCACTCGAGGGAAGAGTCGAGGAGAACTATTAACTGATGTCGTCTTCGTTATCAAAAATCCACAAGATTGAATTGGAATGAATATTTTCAAAAGTTACACTCGCAACCTTTAAATTTAATATATCACGGTTTCAGTGTTATAATGCAACATAGTTAATTTACATGCTCCACTCGCCGCTCATAACATTAAGATTTTTAAACCTTTTGCTTATTCGATCATAGAGACGCTATTGATAGCAGCAAAATTAGTAGAGAACTGAGAACTGATCAAAATAGATCCGATTTTAGCCTATATCCTTTTTAGCGAACACTCACTTTATTAATATGATAAAATCACTTACAATGACAATAAAGAAAAGATCAAATTTAAGACAAAATTCCAGGTCAAGCCGTTCTTTGACTTTTCGCAAATCCCTATAATTTCCAGTCAAAGCATTCTTTAAACTTATTTGATTGATCAAGCCTTTTTTGTTCCAGATTCATTTTTAGAGTAAAAATATTCTTTTATAATTATATTAAAGAATCCAAAATCTGTTTAGATTCTCGAGGAAATCGAATAAAAAACCAAAGAATAGACTGGAATAAACCAGAATCTAAAAGAATACAAGTTGTTGTTCGAACCAGGTAAATCGTTAGTTTTAGAAAAGTAAATTTACTAGAAAATTGGATCATTTTATTTTTGTGCACTGTCCCTTTTTGTCTTTTACATTATACATATTTAAATATATTTCAATATTACCAGCTTCACAAGGCTTAATTATCTTAGCATAAAATATATAGATATTCATTGATTTTTCTCGCATTATACACATTTGTTCATTTTTCAATGGGTTTGTGGTTAACAATTACGATATTGGATAAGCCCATTTGGGACAGTCTTCTTTTTTTGTTAATTTAACATGATAACTAATTTTTCGCTTTTACCTCACCCACGAACTCAAATATACATAGCATATTGTAGATTTGAATGATACAAATCAACATAATCGTCAGTTTACAATTAACGGTTTTTCCATCGTGTTGACAGTATTGTTTTAGACCATTAAATGTTCGTGAAATCAAGGAGGAAGCAAAAGATATTCTTTACATGGATGAAATCAACAATGAATGTACTCTCTTGTGTCCTCCAGCAAAACAACAGGTTGCAGCATTTTAAGTCGTCTTTATTTTTCGTGTGGAAAAGTTGGCGCGGATCGACAGATAAATAAAAATAACAATGCCTCCCTAATAATATGTTTTATTTGCCAACGAGCTTGCATTTAATATTGCTTTTAGAATTAGACTATCATAATGATCTATTTGTTTAAAATGGAAGATCATAATGATATTTTTTTTAGAATAGAAGATCATAATGATCTATTTGTTTAAAATGGAAGACCATAATGATTTATTTGTTTAGAATGGTAGATCATAATGATCTATTTGTTTAGAATGGAAGATCATAATGATCTATTTGTTTAGAATGGAAGACCATAATGATCTTTTTGTTTAGAATAGCAGATCATAACGATCTATTTGTTAGGAATAGAAGATCACAATGATAAATTTGTTCAGAATGGAAGATCATAATGATCTATTTGTTTACAATGGAAGATCAAAATGATGTATTTGTTTAGAATGGAAGATCATAATAGTCTATTTGTTTACGATGGAAGATCAAAATGATGTATTTTTTAGAATGGAAAATCATAATGATGCATTTGTTTAGAATGGAAGATCATAATGATGTATTTGTTTTGAATGGAAAATCATAATAACGTATTTGTTTAGAATTAAAGATCCAAATGATCTATTTGTTAGGAATTGATGATCATAATGATGTATTTGTTTAGAATGGAAGATCATATTGATCTATCCGTTCAGAATGATAGATCATAATGATCTATTTGTTTAAAATGGAAGATTATAATGATCTATTTGTTTAGAATCGAAGATCATGATGATGTATTTGTTTAGAATGGAAGATCATAATGATCTATTTGTTTAGAATGGAAGTGCAAGAAAATCTGTTACATTTGTATTTGATCGTGTCTACAATGCTTCAACTACTACAGCACAAATATACAATGAAATTCCATACTCATTGGTTCAGAGCTTTCTAGAAGGGTAATTCATTAATAAGTAAAACAGCTTTAATCACTGTACATTGCAACTCTACAGTATGTACTCCAATATATACAATGGTAGGCATATTTACCAATACCATGCTGTCGACGTCATATTACAGAATTGCATCTTATTAAGACTACATAGTACATACAACACATATTTGAATTATGTAAACAAAGGGAAGCTGTTAAGTTAATAAGAAGGAAATACATTTTTTATTAGCATCTTATTATATTATATATATTGCAACTGTATGTACTCAAAGTACAATGTTACTGTTTAGTTTGTTCTCTCGGTACAATACTATTTTCCTGTGTACTCTAAGTACAATACCACTGTACTAAATGTACTATAGATAAAATGGAACTGCACTGGTGTACTCCAAGTACATTACTACTGTACTATATGTTACAATGTGTACTATAGGTACAATTCACCCGTATTATATGTACTCGAGGTAAAATACTACTATTCTGTATGTACTCTAGGTACAATACAGCTGCAGTATATGTACTCTATTTACAATACTACTGTACTGTATGTACTCCAAGTGCAATGTTACTTTAGGTACAATTCTACTGTACTGGCCTATGGACAGACCGGTTCCGGAAAATCATTTACAATGCAGGAAGACCCAGATCATATAGGTCAGCTAGTTAGAAATTATGTAAGAAAGTTTCTGGAAAAACGTAAATAAAAAAGTCCCAATTTTCTGAAGTCCTTGGACAAAATGTATCTGGATATAAAGTCCTAAGTTTTAGATTCCTGGGACTTTTTTTCCTAAAATGGAGACTTTCTTCCTATCACCAAAGTCTCAGGAAATAAGTCCTGAAAAAAATATATCCAAAGTAAAAAGTCCTGAGCCTTCCACAGGACTTTCCAGTGCCAAATTTAGGACTTTATTTCCAAAACCTTTTTTTCAGAGATCTTTTTTGTCGTTTTTGACTTTTGATTTTCGAAAGTAAAAATGGTTTTTACTCGACTTATAAAAGTTAGAGAAGCTGTCAATTATCAGATTCTTTTAATGTTTACTTGTAAACTTATAAACTTGTAAACTTGTACACTTGTAAACTTATAAACTTGTAAACTTGTAAACTTGTAAACTTATAAACTTGTAAACTTGTAAACTTGTAAACTTGTAAAAAGGTAATTTAAAAAAACAATTTAAGAAATTTAAAGCTAAAAAGTCGTCTTCATTGTATTGATACAAACTCCGACAACTGTTTAAATATCTATTTTTCTAGGAATCATACCGCGTGCAATAGTTCATATTTTTGAAGGAAAAGAGGCCGACGAAGATCAGGAATGATAATGTTTACTTGGCAAAAGTTTTTATATTTTATTATACATTGGCTGACACATGATGTCCTTGAAATATGATAATTTTAGATTTTATTGGACTGCTGCTACTGAAAAATATTTTTAATAGTGTCTTTGCAAAAGGTATCATACCTTTCCGCTGCAATTCTAAACAACAAATCGGCTTTTTCTTCGGTCGTAGATATATTTGAAAAGTAAGACTAATGCCTATGAATAGTTAATAGGCTAATTAGATTACCATGAAATTACCCAAATAAGTGAACGGTCTCTTTAACTCCCCTTGCTTTTTAATGGATTAGCCCACTACAACCACATCTAGACTCTTGCCCCGCCTACTGTTTATAGTTTAAATACAATTTTAGGTCAAAACACAAACTTACTTAGAGTATATTTTTTAAAACGATGGATTTTTTCAGTGAAACTAACATAAAGTCGGTTAGTTTTTCGTTTTCAATAGTTCACTAACAGTTCGTTTATTTAAATCCATCGTGTTTTGTCTAAAAAACCAGCTTCGTTAGTTCAGAAAAATTAAAAACAAAAGAAGTAAGTTTTTTAATTCGTTTTTATAAAAGAATTATCAACAATAAGTGTTCATCACTTTAAGTCTAAATTAAAAGAAATTTTCCTCTTTTGTAGAAACTTCATATATTTAATGTTTAGACAAATCTGAAGAGAAAAATAAACAAATACTAATGCAGTCTTTTCAATTATATTTTTCAATTATTCATTTTTGTTATTAACGGAAAATTTTTTATTTTTTTTAAATTCTAAACATTATAAATTTGATTTGGGCCAGGATACGACCTATGATGTGAGAGTTTCATATTTAGAAATATATAATGAAGAAATAAGGTAGATCAATTTTCTATATATTTTTAACCAACTAACAATGTATAAACAAGATAAGGAAGGAAACATACCTGTATTCACGTTGTTTTACACAATAATAATAATAAGTATACTGGGTTAAGGTTTACTAGAAACCTAACTTACCCTAAAAACATTCTTTCCAACAGAGTGAACAGTGGTATAAAGAAATACTCTTACAGTCAAATAGTGATTTCATTCCTTCTAGAATTAAAGATACAATTAAAGTTCTTAAAACAAAGATATAACGAATACTTCTTTTAAACTTATCCAAAAATTGTTTAATTTGTATGTTTTTATTATAATGACGACAGTAGCTGTTTTTATATGTTTATGATGATTTATTAGATGGAATATGACTTAAAAAAGTGTTAAAAAAATGTACGAATAACATACCAAAAAATATTAGATGTCCTTTAAAAAAAATAAAATAGAACCCAACATCAGTTATATTGTTACATGATTACGTATCTACATGCATTAATGCAGAAGAATACAAACAAGAAATTTCTAATGCAGATTTATTATTTTAACAACTTTGACTCCTACTAGACAGGGTTGCTTGGTAAATCTACAAGGAACTAAACCAAACCAAATCATGAATCAAGATATGGAGGTGTTGAAAACAATTAATTTGTGTCTAATGTTTAATTTTGTAAGATTTCGTGTAGATTTGGAGAGCTGTTTACACCAACCCGGACTTTGAAATTTGTCTTCTATTTATCAAATAAATTTCCTTTAAACTTTGATAAATGAAGAAACATATTCCAACATTGATTTCTGAAGAAAACATCATTTGTCACAGAAAAAAAACAATAGTTTCGCGGGTTTTTTCTTTGTCCTGAAAAATTCAACAATATCGGGAAAAGGGATAATTTTAATTGAGAAATCAAGCGTTTATCTTCAATTTAACAGTCACCACAATAAATATCAAGATAAAGGTTCAAGATTAACGATAATTTTCCAAAAAGTTTTGACTTCTCCATTTTTGTTTAAAAATAATAATCAGATTTAGTTTGTTACTGTTTCAGGGATATTCTTAGCGAAGATCCAACACAAAAATTAGAAATTAAGGTATTCAATCAAATTATAGGATTTTAAGGATTAGAGTTTTTAAACAGAGCTTTGACGTAGATACTAATTTCTAAAATGATTCAAGACAAAAAAATGAAAATGGCTAAAAAAGGACTCTTAGGTACACTGATGGCCATATCTGATTCACAACGAGACAATTTAAAACAAATATTTGATCAATAATGGATTTATTATTGTCGTTTTGCTATATTACAAATTGTTTAACACTGTAACCATGGAGTTGAAAAAAATAAAATTTAAAAATGAAAAACGCGGAAAGCTTATTCATTCTTGTTGGTACAAAGCTTTTACGGGCACCATTGAAACTACGTGTACAGTCCCATTATTTTCTATTATTTGATCCTATATCTATCTAGGGGGAGAAGGTGGAAGGACTGACAATACATCCTGTGGATTCTATATCCTCATGTGCTCACTATATGAGAGTTGGACTTGCAAACAGGTCAACTTTATAATAAACCTTTCATACTTAAAACTATAAGAATTGAACTAGATCAATTTGTAAAATGTTATAATATCAGAGTGCTGTGTTACATCCTAAATTTTCAAAGGAATCTAGAAATTTTATTTATATTTTTTTTTTTTTTGGGGGGGGGGGTAAATTAAAAGTTTTTTTCTTAAATTATTTTTTGTTGCTTTTTTAAAAATTCTCTAATATTTTCTTTTTGTCTCTTATTATATAAAAGGCTACCCACAAAGGATCAGACTGTAAAGACGACCTTAAATCCTGTCTTCTGCCCTAAATATAGCTTTTAACGGTGTACTTAATGATTTGGCAAGGAAAACAAAAAGTTGCAGGGAATCCTATATACAAGATACGAGACAGTATACATTCCGTACAGTCGTCTCTGAAGTATCATCCTTTGTGGATAATCCTGTAGTTCTATAGTGTCTTTTGCGTTTTTAAAGGGACTGCACATGAAAATAACATGGGACCCTCATAGAGTGGCATGTTCTATTCACTGTACGGTACCCATCAATCTTTATCGAATTTCTAGCGTGGAAAGTGATAAATACTTTTATTTCTTGAATTGAATCTGTATAAAATAAAGTCAATCAGCCACTTTTTTAGAGATTCCACTTAACCTTTTTATCTTTAGAGTTACCTCCGCAACAACGATGAACTCTCATTCTTCTAGATCTCACGCTATTTTTACAGTGTACATGAGAGTAGTGTACACTGATCCACTAGGACACCAACATCATAGGTACAGTACATGCTGCTATTTTTACAATGTACATGAGAGTAGTGTACATCTGATCCACTTGGACATCAACATCAAAGGTACAGTACAGTACATGCTGCTATTTTTACAGTGTACATGATTGCATTGAAGAGTAATTGGGGTAGCGTTCTTAATTTTTTCAGGGATACATTAGGCTTCAGAACTTCAACATCTATGATTATTTAAAATTACATTTTGTAGTATACTATAACAAGACATATGTACTGTACATAATATTTTTACATGTAGATAGGCAATAAAAAATAGTGCATCAAATAAGCATCTTTAATGGGTTCAATAAAAAAAGATTAACTGATTTTGAAAACAGATTATGAAATGAGAAATTAAAAGAGAGTAGAGTTAAGTAAATATTATTATTATTATCTTTAAAAAATATCTGAAATTTTTTTAATCATAATTAAAATAAGAAACTAAAAGATTTAAATAATCATTTTTAGAAAAGCCAAATTGAACCTGGTTGACTTGGCTGGGAGTGAACGTCATGGAAAGACTGGTAACGTATTTTTTTGCCACAAACTCTGAGAAACATACCTGTATTCACGTTGTTTTACACAATAATAATAATAAGTATACTGGGTTAAGGTTTACTAGAAACCTAACTTACCCTAAAAACATTCTGATGGAGAAAATCCAACTCCAAATTCCCATGATACAACTCAATCTAGAACTCAAGATTCATCATGAATAATACCATAGTCAATATCAATCAGGATACAACTCAGTCTGTATTCTCAGGTATCTGTCTTACAAGATACATCTCAATCAGGAACTCAAGGTTCACTGGAATACCATAGTCTATATCAAACCGGATACGACTCAGTCTGTATTCTTAGGAATCTGTCTTACAAGATGCAACTCAATGTAATTCCTAATCTATATCTATCTTTTAAGAAAGTGATTCAGGACGCTTCTTGTTTCCTTACCAAGAAATAATTACTCTCACATTGTAATCAAAGCGGAGTATTATTCCAACTGACTTTTATTTTGAATTCTATGATACAGGTTAAGTTAATGATTGTAATTACAAGTTTTATGTAGTTTTTTACACCGTATTTAGCTAAATCGTGAAAGAGGTTTTAGCATTTATTTATATATAGCGTAGTAAAGATAATCATGTTACGTAGTTATTTACAAACGTCGATAATTAATGGAAAGCGTAGTTAGGTTATTAATAATGTACAACATAGTTCAGGTTTACAGATATAGGGTTACAGGATATTCATTACATTATGACGGTCGATCTGTGTCCTGAGAAGCAGTCAATATCAGGAGCAGTATTTCAGATGAGCTTCTAGTCATGGGTTCAAGAAATATCTGCACAGGGGATAGATGGATTTCAAACCCAGGATACAAGAAGATATACCGGGAACCCCAACCTGTGGATCTGTGGAAACTGTAATAGCAGTATATCTACATCGCTAATTTAGCTCATTGTTTTATATAAAATTGTTTCTTTTATTGTCTCTGGGCGGGTCCTTTCAAATTTAACACTATTAACAATTTTATATTTATATATTGATTCTCATGAGACGCAATAATAAAAATAAATACCTATATTTCGCGAATTATTGGGTTTAAATTGGTTTAAAAAAAATAATTTATATCTACATTTTTTTGTCGAGGAAAAATTTCATAATTCTAATCTAACTTCTCAAACTCAAATTTTCTACTCCCTTTATCTTTGCAACCTGATGGTGTAAACATTAGATATTTTAATTAGCAGAATTTAAAGTGAAATATAATAAAGGTCTAGATATCAGGTTTTAACGATATAAGGATTGTAAAAAAACGTTTTTAACAGCCGTTTTAACGTTTGGATAGAAACAACAATACGCTGTTCATTAATGATAATTGTGTTTTACTGTTATTATACTATTTATAGAATGGGGTTTTCCAGACACATTAATCAAACTATAAAAGAAGTTTTATATTTTTCCTAAAACATTCATAATGCTAATAATTCAAACATTGTGATATTGAACTTATGTAGTATGCTTAAATGTCTGACGATTTTCTTGTGGTGTTAACAACACAGACATAATTTCAAGTAACCCTCTATATAAAATGGGTATGTCTGATTCACAACAGTACTCTGTAAATCCCTCTCTCTCCCGTAATTTGAGGTAGATATTGTCGTTTTTCCTCCACTAAATCTGCAGCACTTTCAAGTTTAAAGAGAAATCACAATTAAAAAATGATTAATTAGGAAATAAGAAAATATCATGTAACTAGCTGAAGGGTCAGGCGTTGCCTATGGAAAAAAAAATAATTTGAAAAAAAATTAAAAAGTTTTTTTTAAATTTAAAAAATTATAAATGTTGGAGAAAAATCTTTTAACCTTAAACACCCCACGGCGGCCCAAACTGCAACTGCAACTGTAAACTTGTATCTTTCTTTGCTTAATTATTATATAAGTCATCAAAAAAAAACTATATTCTACAAGTAGAAGACTTGTTTTTTTTGAAAATGTCGTCATATTTTGAGAGTTTTATGTCTTCATTATACAAACTCATCCTAAGTGAGTTCCCCTGTAATAAAATTATTATTTTAAATTGTCAAAATATTAATTTGTTTAGGTAAAGTTATTCAAGCATTATCAGAGGATAAGCCTGGACATGTTCCATACAGAGAGAGTAAATTAACAAGACTTCTGCAGGTCAATATATTATTTCCAAATTATTGTATTAGAATTTAATCTCGTGTTTGTAACAAAGGAATTGAGTTTTTGCCGCAAACTCTGATTTTCTAATGCCTATATTTTCAAACCAACGCCGTAGACTTTAGATATTTTAAACTACTAATTCTGTTTATCAAATAATCTAAGTTTGAAATGTGACCGTGAGTTTCCACAAAAAATTGTGCCCAATCGGTTTTGCTATTTTGACATTTATTGGTTAGAATCAAACAGACAGACAAGCCAAAATTTTGTATGTAAGAAAATATTGAATAATAATGCGCAATAGTTAAAAAATAATGAATTTTAAGGATTCACTCGGAGGGAACGCGCGAACCATGATGATAGCGTGCTTGTCTCCCGCTGAAACTAATTTTGAAGAAACTATTTCAACTCTTAAATACGCGCACACGACTAAATCAGTTCATAACAGGTAGAATATCTATATCTATATTTTTATATGTAGAATAAAGTGCTTTATTTGGTTATATTTAAAAAATTGCTTTCAACTATAATAGCATTGCAAGAAGAGATGTTTGCATAACAAAAATGACTTCTTAATAAAATATCATCATTAGGTTTGTATATCTTTAATCGCGAAATGTTTTTCTTCACTCAGTGTAACATTTACAGGACATTAAAAAACAAATATGCAAAATAATGAATTTTTGAAATTTAGAGCTAAGAAATTCAATTCAAGAGCTAAGCTTTGTAGGGTTTATTGTTTGTTTTTGATTTTTTTTCCTCCAGTAATTACTCCATATATATCTTTGTTGACTTGAAAAGTCACTATAATAAAATAAAGAGATCTAAAATGGATATTTCTAACATTTATTTAAAAAAACAAGTGTTTTGAAATATTTGCATTTAAGGCGGAGTTAAAATTGGTTGATTTAGAAATTAACAAAGGAATTATGGATGGATATTTGATGGTACTTCATGGGAGTGTTGCAGAGCTTCATGTTGGTGGAGCAGATCAACAGGAACTGGGGCAACAGGGCTTATCCAACCTAGTAGGCAGAGATCGCAGCTTTATCATGCTGGATTTGAGCGATTATGTTGTCTCTGGAAGTGGAGTGCATGATAAACTGGGAACCCTCGGGTAAGCCTGTCTGCTGCTAATTGAGTATCTGCGTCATCATCATAAAGGAGTCAAGAGGCTCCCTGTGTCGGAGCTGTTACTAGTTCAACTGTCCTAACATGACTGAATACCGGGAGCTGGGATGGGCGGAGATTCGACATGTCATGAATGTTGACAAGGACCCAAAAGACCAAATGATCCGAGAGCTACAAAATGAAATAAAAACCCTCAGGTAAAAAGAAGGGAATGATTCCAAAATATTACAAAATCCAGTGCAGACTGGATTTAATATTGATTTGTAATTTTGTTTGCAAATGTTTTCTGCTCAGTTTTAGAAAAATGCTTAAGCCAAATACCAAAATTGGAGGAACGTACGAATGAAGACGACAATCATGGCAAAGTTTTAGTTTTTATGTTTTTAAAAGACAAACTGAAAATACTTATTCTTATTCTAAATTAACATTGTGTTCGTAAAATCGAACTTACCAAAACAATTTAGCAATTATGGACATTTTGTTAAAACTATCAAAAAGTTGGTCTATGATGTTTATATCATAATGTTTACAATTTCGAAATGGTTTCGCTAGTTTGATATTAGAATTGTTTTAACTAGACATAGATTGGATAATACAGCCTTGGACCAGTGATCACGGAATTCTCAAGAGATCATCAAAATATTAACTTCTCGTCCGAGCCATATTCTCCTCATATTTTTGCCCGAACCACCTCGAAATCCTCGCCCTTCGGTCATAATATGTTTAAAAGTTTCTTTTTATTCTTGTAGATAAAACTATTTTAACAAATCTGGCCACGTTAGGGCATAACAAATGGATAGACTAAAGTAAACTTCAATTCAATTGAAACTATTTTTTTCGATTTACTAAAATTCAATACTACATTTATGCCCTAACGTGGCCCAATTCATAAAAATTAGTTTTATTTTGGAGGACTAGACACTTTCAAAAAATAATATTGGAAGGACGAGGACTTGGAGGTGGCTCGTACGAGAAGATGAGGAGAATGTGGCTCGGACTAGAAATTGTTGTGGCTGGCCTTCCTTCCCTCCCCCCCACTTCTTTTTCCTTTAAATGTCAGTTTTTCCCAAAATTTTACTTTTGTACCCAAAAAAGTGTTCAATTTTTAGACCTTTCTTCCATTTCATTGACGCATAATTTAGAAAGTCGCCTTCACATAGAAATGGAATTTAATAATTATAGAAAAACAAGGAATGTTCCATCAGGTTTATTTTTATTATTAGATGAAGGTTGAAGAAAAATGTTTTGAATTTAGATATCATTCTCAACCTACAGGCTTGTAAGCTGTAATTGCACCGACATGTAAATAAAACCAAAAATCAATAAATAAAATAATAATAATAATAAAAAATGGTTTTTACACAGATGGAAAATGAATATAATGATATAGGTTATTGAACATAATTCTTTGTGAAAAAAAGGAAAACAATACATTTGCATTGGAACTTTCAAATATACATTTATAAACCTGTAAAGTAATGATATAGGTAAATAAGTAAGAAAATAGTAAAAACTTTATTATTTATTATTGAAATATAACAAAAACATGCAAAATTATGTGTTTCATACTAATGAATTTTTCTGGCTAAGTGTCCATAGGTTTTAAGATACGTATTTTTTCCAATAAATACATAAATTTCATACCAGGTTCTTTTAAAGTGCATATCGTTTTTATTTGCATTATTACCAATAAATAAGTAAATTTCATCTCTGTAATGGGAAGACGACTTTTAGACTCAAGTTATGACTTTAAATATACCTTTGAGCATGAAACACATTGATTGTGCAGTGTAAACAGACTCATTTCAGTTAATAAGTGTTGAGATAAGTAACTAGTAAAACTTTGCTTTGTATCACCAAAAATTAATCTTAATTAAATTGCTTAAATGTCGTCTTCCTATTCCATAGTTTTTTGGTTCTCATTGTACAAGCATATTTTACGGATATAAAATACGAATCTTAACGGATATGAAGTATGTCGATCATATGTATTCACCATGTGAATACGATTTTTACTACTTTACTGCAAACTTATAAATACGAATAAATACGTACAGTAAACCTATTTACCAATATAAAACAGACGACATTATGATTCAGTTTTGCTAATTCTACCCAGCTTGCATGTAAACAAAGGGAAGCTGTGAGTTTGACGGGCAAATAATCTTTGCTGTGAAAATAATATATTCTTATGATACACAATTTATTGGTTTTATACGTACTAAAACATTAAAAATTAACTGTTTAAATTTTCTTAAATAAATTGTTTGGAATATATACCCTGAATTTAAGCACGATCGATTTGAAGTACATATCAGTGCAGTCACATGTTACCAAAGTGCGTACTGCATATTTCATCCTGCTGTAATCAGGGTTAAATATCCCAAAAAAAGAACTAATAAATAAACCTAAATGTCTCCATGTTTCATTACACATTTAAAGTTATCCCATGTTATGTCATATAACACAATAAAAATATTTACCCTTTTGATTCACAGCTTCCCTTTATTTACATAGCTGGAAAGTAAGCAAAGCTTCAATGAAATTGTCGTCGATATTATATTGGTATAAAGGTTAACCACTGTATAATTTTTGATGATGTGGGACACTCTTTATATATTTTTCCATGAATTTATATAAATTTTAAACTGAACATTTAATAGTTCAAATGAGTAAATAAGGTGCATGTTTGAACTACAGGAAATGACGTCGAATTATCTTTTATAGTTGGAATGAACAATGTTCAAACGATGTTCATGATCAATAGTTCAAACGGCGGTAGTTCAAATGCGGATCCACCCAACACTAGTGCAATCAGGTTATGTATGATCCGCTCTTCTGTCCAACCGTCCTATGTTCCCTATGTGCGTACAAAGGGCAGGCACCAGAAATACGCCATCGTGCAATCGATGTTTCACCTCAAAGACGATTGATTGAGTGAGAATCGATATCTGCTTTAGAATAGTTTGCGGCATTTGAGCGATAAATATCTGGGACTGGTTTGGTTTGGTACTGGTAGATCCTAGTCAGTAGCCTCTGGTGCTAAAAACATAAATTGCGTCACACGTCCTTGTACTTTCGTGTTTTTGAGTTGAATTTTCGGGAAAACATCTTGAAAGGGTTCCATGCATATGACATGAACAGCTCATGAATGCAATTTAAGTTTTCGGTGTTTATTTTGTCCGCGCAAACCTGCTAAATTCATTTATTTCATCTAAAAATAATTGTTGTTGAGAAAATCAGATTAAAATAAATATTTCGATATTTCAGAAGTTTAATTGTTAGAACATGGCCGAGCACCCGTCCACGACCCTGTTTCGTGATTATATTCGTATAGAAACTGTTCAGCCTAACCCTGATTATCCTACGTGTATGAAGTTTCTTGGTGAACAGGCTGAACGGTTAGATCTACCTTTCAAGGAACTCAATAATTTGATTCAATTATTATTTTATATTGCATTTAAAGTTGTTTAAGGACCCCTCACTCTTAGATGTGGCTTGGTTATTTCTTTAACTTTTTTATATAATTTTCATCATATTCTAGAATATTTTTTGCAGTTTAATTCTTTAAAACTCATGAGGGAAAAGGGGCGTCAAATGAAAAGTTATACAAGAAAGATGATCACCTCTTCCGTCATCAGGGGCATATTTAGTTAGACCTAATAATCACCCCCCGACATTTAAAGCTATTTAGCCCTTGCATGTTTATTTCTGCTATTTAGGGAATATGAAAAGGTAATTTCCTAGTATTCGAGTTTTGGACACCCCCGTCCCCCCCCCCCCCCNCGAGGAAGGAAATCAATAAGGGGGGGGGTCCAAAAATCGTAAACTAGGACGGATCCTATTAATAAGCTTTAATGTTACAAATAGGAGGGGATACATTTGCCCATTTATTTCCCCACGGGGTCAATTCTTCATAATTATTATCCCCCACTTATTTTTTTGTCATTTGTTATTGTTGTGTGAAGATAATAGAATGCGTCGCTGGTAAACCTATATTTATCCTAACCTGGGCAGGAACTCAACCAGACGCTCAATCAATCTTGTTAAACTCACACACTGATGTTGTTCCAGTCTATCCGGACTCATGGAAGCATCCACCATTCTCCGCATTCAAGGTTATTTCACGGCTACATATTTTCTTGAAAAATCGTTTTCTCCCCTCTTTAAATAGTCTTAAAACGGATGAGGGAGTGGGGGGTGTAACTTTCTAAATTTTTCTGAATTACTTTAAAGAAAAAGTATAGTTGAACTATCTTATTTTAACCCTACTTACTATGACATCTTTTTTATATTGAATACATGACATGTCAAAAAAATAGACTAACGTAATTTCACATAAATAAACTAGCAATTTCTCCGCTCAAAAATTGGCATTATTTAAATTAGTAATAATGACATTTATGATTCCATAATTGTTATGAATTAAAAAATTGCATTTTTTCTCTTTAATTTCTCAAGACGCTTTCAAGGAGAGCAAGTTCCAAAAATTTAGATACTTGCAAAGTTGCTCCTCGATCGGAACTAAAATGATTTTTTAAAACTTTTAAACATTCTCTTAAAAATAAGGAACAATCCCTAGGGGCAGTTCCAATAGAATTTGAATCCTGGATCCGTTTTATATAAAACGGGGATAATTTCCTATTATCATATCATTTCCTATTATCATTTTTGTACACAGCATTTTAGGACATTTTTGGAGCCATGTGGCCGCTACGCCCGGCCCCCTGTCCTGTTCTTGTTAATTATCTTAATTGTTCGGCTCCCTAGTCTTACCTGACATATCTTTGAAATAAGACAAATAAATACTAATTTGTTTTGTTAAAAATAGTTGAAATCTAGGTTATGTACATAATTGATAGGAGAGGGGGGGGGGTTAAGAAATCTTATTAGAGAGCTGAAACCTAAAACAGGATCCAGATACTGATCCAGCTCTCAAATATTTCCTTTAGATTTAAAATTTCAATAATTAAAGGAAACTTTTTAAATAATTTCTTTTCCCGTTTTTTCTCTCAAAACATACAAGATAGAATAAAAATATAAAAAATGTAATTTTGACATTTGGTTGTATAATAGGCGAGGATTTATGTCTACTTGATTATTTGATTAGGATGAGAATGGTGATATATACGGACGAGGGACCCAGGACATGAAGTGTGTTGGAATACAACATATAGAAGCTGTCCGTCAACTCAAGGCACGGAAATATATATTTGCATAACACCCCAGGTTCGCATCAAACAATCTAAATACCCCAATATGTGTAAACTGAAAATAATTTTATAACACCCCGGGTTCTCTCTAGACTAGCAAAATACCTCAATAACATGTGTATATAATTTTTTAACACCCCGGGTTTTCTTCAAACAACTGAAATACCCCAATATGTGTAAATAATTTTATAACACCCCGGGTTCTCTCTAGACTAGCAAAATACCTCAATAACATGTGTATATAATTTTTTAACACCCCGGGTTTTCTTCAAACAACTGAAATACCCCAATATGTGTAAATAATTTTATAACACCTCGGGTTCTCTTTAAATACCCAAATGTGTGTTTATACTTTTATAACACCGGCCCCGGCTTCTCTTCAAACAATCTAAATACCCGAATATGTGTTCATACAACATCCCGGGTTCTCTTCAAACAACCAAAATACCCGAATATGTGTTTATAATTTTATAACATCCTGGCTTCGCTTCATACAACCTAAATGCCCCGATATCTGTGTTTATATTTTGATAAAACATCTTTTCCTGTTCTCTAAAAATCCTTTTCTGAAAGGGGGAGAATCTTGTTAGTTGTTGATGAAGGAGGGGGCAGTATAAAAATACATATTCCTTATTATTTGATAGATTTACGGGTAAATGCAATCATTTTGGGAAAAAATATAAACTGCTGACACCAGGAGTCGGGACGACGGTTGAAACGAACCATCCACCTCTCCTTTGTACCGGACGAGGAGATCGGTGGGTTGGACGGGATGAAGGTGTTCGTCCACACCAAGGAGTTCAAGGCAGGAGTTTACAATTTTCTTAACATTCATATGTTTTTTACAATGGAACAGAAAGAGGTTTGTTAGACTCAAGTTTTGATTTAAATAGTCCAATGAACCGGAAACAAAGCAATTGTGCAATGTACACAGACCCATATCATTTCATAAGTTGATATTCAAGGTACAGGTAAAACTAATTGCTTCTTTGTAACATATCAAGTAGTTCTGGCTGGTTCCTTTTCCACATCAAAGCCTTATTGTAATATCGAGAGAATAAACCAATGGTCGTTCATTTTCTTAGAAATTCGTATTCCTTTAGGCTCTGTTATAAAGTCGTTTTATTAAAAGTAATTAAATCAAATTTCGGAATAATAATTGTATTAAAAATTCAAAAATTAACTTAAGTTAGGATGAGAATGCAAAGGTTAAAATGATCAAGTAGGAATTCAAAAGAAGCTAAATTAAATAAGGTCTTTTAAATAAAAAAAATTGACAAGAAAATAACTCAGTGGTGTATATTTTTCACAATTATTTTTGATGAATTTGGGAAAAAGATGGAAATTTGGACATCAATAGGCAACTTTTTTCATTCTTTATCACACTTTTTCCCAAAAATTAATTTTTTTCCCTAAAATCATTTTTTCTCCCAAATTAAGCGAATAAAACTCTAGATTTTTTTGCGTTCCGCGGAAGATGATTTTCAAAAAGGGGGAAAGTGGGGAGAATTGTGCGAGAGTAAAGACGAGCAAAATATTCACTTCAACGAAATTGGAACTCTAAGATCGAAATTGAAATACCTCAGTTTTCTCGAAAACTGTGCAAAGCTTATTTAACACAAAAGGATGAACTTAGTAACTTAACCTCCCTCTGTTCGGGAAACATAGGTCGGTAATGTTTGTCAAACTGCAGTAAAAATTATATCGAGGAAGGAAATCAATAAAACTTGAAAAGCTCTGTTGTTTCCAGGACTTGAATGTTGGATTTATCCTGGACGAGGGTATAGCAGTTCCTGATGATACTATTCCAGTTTACTACGGAGAGAGGAATGTTTTCTGGATTGAGATTATTTGCCCTGGCAGCCCGGGACACGGTTCCAGGTACAGACAGGGTCAGGGGTGTATGATTTTTTGAGGCGGGGGGGATAATTCTTTGAAATATACTTTGCTTGTCTGTTTGTTGTTTGTTTGTATCCAATTAACATCAAAACGTTTGAACTGATTGCGCCCAAATTTTGTTAGGGATCTCATATAACCTCAGGGAAAGAATATGGATGATCAAAATTAAAAAAATTTGCCTCTCCGATGTAATTTGACTTTTATTAAATTTAAAAAAATCCACGATTTTTTTTATTAAGTCCGAGAACTTTGTTTTTTGTTTTCTTTTACAATGTATACAAAGTGAAAATGTTAACAATTGAAGTAGTTGTGAAGTTTTAAGGGTTTCTTGTCAATGAATTGGTAAAACTAGATGACTTTAATCAAATAAATGCTGTTATAGTTTGAAGTATGAGAAAGGGGTGGGGGGGGCTCCTGCTGTAATCAGGGTTAAATATCCCAAAAAAAGAACTAATAAATAAACCTAAATGTCTCCATGTTTCATTACACATTTAAAGTTATCCCATGTAAGGAAAAAAAATATGAAGAACCGTATTTTTAAAAGGGGGGAACTTAACTTTTATTCAAATTGTTCACTTATCCCTTCAAATCTTTAAAAATAATAATAATAAAAAAGTTGAACGATATGCTTCTTATATTTATTTAATACAGCTAGACCCAGTAAACTGTAGGAAAGGAAAACTATCTAACGTGAATTTGATGTTGGATAGAAAAAAGTTTTAACAGTTGTGAAATGGGTCTGTGTTCACTAGACAATTACTGAGCTTCACGTTCATTTAAATTATATATTTAATATTGATGCAGTCGTTTTCCACAGTTCCACAGTTGAAAATAAATATTTTTGTTTCAGGTTCTTGGAGAACAACGCGGCATTGAAGGCGCAGTACATGATCAACAAGCTGATGGAGTTTAGGGATAAAGAGAAGAAAAGATTACTCGATAATCCTCAGCTAACCCTGGGGGACGTTACCACAGTCAACCTCACCATTATGGAAGGCGGGGTTCAGGTAAGGGGCTCAGCAGGGATGGAGGGGAGGGGGGTTCCTATTTAACTTCTTGGATCCGGTGTAGTGCATGGGGAGGGGGACGCCTCCCTTGCATGGACACCTCCCCCTAAAGTTTTAACCATTTCAAGACACTGTTAGACATAAAAATCAATTTAAAACATTAAAAATTATTAGTTGACATGTATTAAACATGCATTTTTTTCTTAAATGTATTTTAAAGGGGGTAAAGGCAAATAAAAGACATTTCCTCTCGAATGTCGTTTTTCTTTCAAATCCCCAAACAATTAATATTTACTCGAGACATAGGTATCTTCTTCCCATAGTATTTGGTAGCCGGGGGGTGCCGGAGCTCATGGGAGTTAGCCCCGATGGCGGTCTGGGCTCTGCATGTTAGGGGTAAATGCAAAAAATTATCGTTTTCCTTCCAAATATCAAATAATCTATATCAATGGAAGAGGATCTTATCTTTTAATGTGTTTTTCCAATCAAAATACATTAATAAATATCGGAAAATGTCGGAAAATGTCACAACTTTGCTATTTATGTCTAACATTGTGTTGAAATGGTTAAAACTTTAAGGGGAGGTGTCAGAGTGTCTCCATCCAGGGAGTTAGTTGTCCCATCCACGACACCGGGTTTGAAAAATATTCAGATTCACGAATCTGGATCCAAATTTAATATTAACCTAACCTATAAAATTAAATGTTCTCTATAAACATACATATTAATTTAATTTTCAAATATGAATTAATAACCATTTTTTAATCGATCTTTTTTATAGAGTAAATATTGCGCCTTTATAATAATTTTCAGCTTATTAATTTTTCATTTTAAATAAAACCCGTTAATGCTAAATTCTTAAAATTAATTCATTGAAAGCAAGTAATATAGAACATATACTGGTAAAAATCGGGGTTTTTTTTCAAACTAAAATATAGCCATTTATTCGAGTTTTAATCAAAAGGTGACATGTGCTCAATTATGATAATTGTGCAGCTTATTGTGATAATCTGTGCGGAGACAACTTCAATTTGTGAAAATTTTATCAAATAAGTTAGTCAATGAAATGCAAGGCTAGAAAGATATTGTTAGTCCAAATTATTAAGCTAAAAATCTAAAATTAAAATAATTACGCAAAAATTCAAACTATATCTGATTTTCCCTTTTAAATAATAGTTTTATCCCTAAAAATATTCGTTTTTGTCAATTGATCAAATGCAAATAAAAATTATTTAAAAATAGGAACTTATCAAGAAATATAAGGAATTAGTTTTTACCTCAAATTATGATTTTCTTTTATCTTTGCGACCCAATGTTCTAGAGCTTAGATATTTCAAACTATGGTTTATGTTATATCAAATAATCTAAGTTGGAAATATCAAAGGTTTACACCATCGGGTTACAAAGATATACAAAGATATAGTGATGAGAATTAAGTTTGTGACAAACACCTGATTTCTTTTCTGACCATTTTTTATTTGAGAAAAAATCAAACAATCAATTTATGGGAAAGGACGCTTGTCGCTCATCTACTGCAGGGAAACCTCTTTTACCCGAGCTGGCTCTCGAGGACGGCCTCTCCCTCATTATCGTCCAAGACCTCTTGCTTTGACACCTTGTAGTCTCTCCGCCTCTCCCCTTCCAGAATGACTTTCTACTCTGGACTATACATATTCTACCTGCTGGAAGGTTTTAGTCCTTTTTCTTCTTGCTGACCGCAGGTTAGGGCATGACTGACTGGTGTATTGTTAATTCACAATTTTTCTGAACATTTGGTATACTAACCGATTTCATGGCTAACCAAGCTTCGAGTAAGTAATTGTCCAAAGTTCAGAAAATCTTCATCGTGCTGGAGATCCAAGTATGGGAGTTCATACAAAGCCAGGTTTTTTAATCTTTAAAAGCTCTCTGATCTGGCACGGGAAACACCTGCAGCCTCAGTTCTACCAGAGCACCAGGACTGCTACCAGAAGTGTCATTACAGCTACCTAAGCATTCGTATTTTTCTTTAAAAAACATGCCATACTTAAATATTATCACATATAAGCACATAGTTATTTTTATACCCGCACATACATCAGTGCACATACTTCATTTTCTTTGTCTTTTTAGAAGCACATAAACCCTAATTTTTATTTAGCTAATCAAGATTTTTCAGAAATGAGCTTTGATTTACTGAAGACAAAAGGAGTTTTCTGTGTATTTCTGAGCCTTCAGACCATAGCGCGTGAGATAAAAATCTTAGCTTTTAAACTAAAAACTCGGGAAATTTCAAAGAGAAATCATACAACATTTTTGATCACACCAGTCATAAGGAAAAAAAATATGAAGAACCGTATTTTTTAAAAGTTTTAGAAATTTATGATTTATGATAATTGTGCAATATTGCTAATATTCATGATAACTCGTTCGTTGTCCTATTTGGATCTGTAGGTCATTGAGTAATGTTAACCTTAGTTTTATCATAGTTAATAAAAATAAAAAAATAATTATAAAGGCGCACTTGACTTTGTTTTAATTAAATTTTTTTTTTTAACTATTGTTATATAGTTTTAAATGTTGTAGAACTGCACCTAAATGCAAATATTACAATATTTATTTTAGATAACACAAGATTATGACCTTTTTGTGAAGAATAAGATAACTTGTACATCGAACATATCATTATTCATCATATCAATGAAATATTCATTTAAATTCTTACATTTTACCGTTTTTTTTTGCTTATATTATTTTCTTTCATTTGTCAACGTTTTTTTTTCTCACTTCTTGAAATTTTTATCCCAATTTTCTGTTGTAAAACACAAAATAAAAAATCTTAAACACATCTTCAGGGGCATTTTTTTCAGAATCACAATTTTTTCAGATGTTTTAACGTTCATATGATATTATTCTATGTCAGGCTAATGTTGTTCCTGAGAAATTCAAGCTGACCTTCGATATCCGTATCACCCCAACCACCAACATTCATGAGTTCGAGAATATGATCAGAGGTTAGAATATTTATGGAAATTCCTCATTCCCCCCCCCCTTTAGTCTCGTGAAGAAAAATGGGGAAAAGCTTAGATTGTAATTATCCTAAACTACAAAATTCAAAGTTTCC